ATTTCGATATACACGATTTGTTTTTTTTTGTACTTTGCCAAAGATGTCAAATTATAGCTAGAAAGATATATAATTTCTCTCTTAAGAATGTGGGCACCAGGAACCCAGCTTGTCTACACCCATGTACAAATTCGATATTCTAAAAAGTCCACTATTTCCTGATTTTTAAAAATAAACAATTGACTTTAGTGTAAAATTCTTTCTATATAATAAAATGTCCACTTTCTTTTTTGGAAAAAGACCCTTCTCTCACCACTTTATAGTGCTATCTGCACCCCTGGATTACCTCATTATTACCTAACTACAGATCCTATACTTAATTACAAATTTAAACACTTCTTGAAGGCTTACTATATATATCCATTTACAAGTTTATTATAATAGATACAATGGAACAAAAAACTTAAAACGTAACACCATCTCAGAGTAGTAACTGTCTATATGTGAACAATATCAACTAACACTAAACACTTACGATATTAATAATTCAGTTGTAAGATTCTGGAATTGTGCAGTGTTATTCACAACCCTACACATAAAATTATGGAACTAAAAAGCTTCAAAAGATAAACTGAAATTCTTGAAGTAATCATGTACAATGTGGTGTTTAGGCCTAGCTTTTTCTAATGACAAAATTTAACGGTATAAAAATAAACAATTCTTTATATCAGAACTTTTAATTTCAACCTGTGGCTTAAGAAATAAATAATTGGTAAATTAATCTAAAGATTTACTATATAACCAAAATGCTATATAGATTACGCACTACCTACAACACAAAATTACCAAAAATTGACATTCATTACTGTATAATAAAATATTTTTTTCATTTTATAAACCATATATCATTGCACAACTAAATCAATATTTGAAACCTTGTTGGATGTATTTTGTTACACTGAGAGATAACTTGATTGAACAATACTTATAATACATTTAAGAGAATTAAATGTGAAACTTCAAAATAAAAATGGATCCACTTAAAAACAAACAAACAGGAATCCTGCAAGAATACCACCATAACAAATACATTCTAAATCAAATATCATATCGAAGAAGTGTTTTGAACAAAATACTGAGAATGTATATTCTATAGATCTATATCAAAAACAAATAAATTTAACTAGTTAAATTTGTAGACAAAGATAAATTAAATACTTTATATAACCAAATTAACGTATGAATAAAAACTAAAATATTCTGGTGACAATAGCTTTTTCTTACTCAAGAAGCTAGTATGTTTTATTCAAACAGTGAATGACATTTATTGTTGAAATTGTACAAACATATCCTAATATTGCTTTAGGTAATTTCTGAAAAAAAAAAAAAAGGAGCTAAAGATAATGTAACTTTAAACTTTTAAAATCTTGCACATTTTGGTATCTACAAACTAAAAAATTACCTTAGAACATGTAATATCACAAAAAGTGTTGCTATATCAATTTACTAGATTCTAAATACTGAAACAAGTAATAACTGATTACTTTTGACAATATTTTTTGTTTCTTGTTGTTATTGGTAATTATTTTAAAAACAACATTCTGAAATATAAAACTGTTAATTCAAGAATATCACATACAAGTGTAAACATATTTCAAGGAATCTATTACACATATGCAAGATTTGTGAATATGATGAAAGTTATACCAACTCTTTCATGTTTCACAGAGAAAGTTTATCAAAAATACACAGCACTATTTTGCGTGTAAGGGTTAGCATGAAATAGCGTTTGAAAGCCATTGGAGACAATTTTATTTCACTGTTTTTCATTTATTTATCATCTTATTAACCAAGCAGAATTGAATACAGTCATCTGATTTCAATAAGTTAAGAGTAGATTAGGATGTGATGCTTACACAAGAAATACCCCAGAACAACAATATATTACATGTAGATATTACCATGGCATATCATAAAATCTGTGCTTAAATAGGATTTGAATAATAAATATTTTGTAAATGCTTAAGTAACAGTAACTGTTTTTATATATCAAATCAATTGATTAGTTTTCATTCGCTGGATTACACATAATTTCTTCACAACTTTGGCATATGTAAGCCCTTTCTTTCACATTATGATTATAGCCTCTGACTTTTAAAAATATTGAATATGTTTATGAATCTAGATTAAACAAAATGCAAATGCTTCACAAACATTTAATTTTACTTATAGAGCACAATTTTCAAAAGTTGAAATTGACTTTAAAACCAGTTACTTATTCAAAAGCAAATATCATTGTGAAACACCATTAACTACCAAAAACTTATCCAGAAGTCTTACACATGTTATTAGTTGTTATTTTTTGAAGAAAAATAATTTGTACATTGAAGGATGTGTGTGTGTATTGAGTGATCTATTTCATCTACTAGATAAGAAAGACACATGAATAAATGCACATTTACATCATAATTAAAAAATTTGCAATTAGAGGAATTGCACAATAAAATCAGAAACTTAAAACTATATTTAAGTGACATACATGTAAGACCCTTAAAGTTCAAAGAAATAAGAAGCAAACAGCTGTGAACAACTCTTGGAAAGAAGTGACTTTGATATAATGTGCTTGGTTCACATCTTGAAAATCAAGCACCTTTCAACACTCCAGTTTTTTATCTTGAACTAAAAAGGATGCAAAAGCCATTTCTTCCTAATAAGTTATTTTGTAAAACAAGAATATTTTGACTTCTCATACATAGAAAGTACTGCTAATACACAACAATGTTACCATTTAACCAGACACACACAAACACACACGCATATTTATACTTATTATATAAATAAAGCATTTAATTATGAGCACATCTTTCTTTTTTCATAAGGCATAATAATAACTGGTATTACAATACAACTTATACAGAATACATGGACATTTACTAGTCTAAAAATAATAAAACTGAGCAGTTGGACAACTGAAACATCAATAAAGATGCTGACTGATTAATACAGTACATTAAGCATATGTGGCACCATTTACTGTATACATGCACATGTACTTTGAAGACATATAATATTCTGTCTATAAACATTATAATACATATTTATCATCGGAACTACTTTTTTTGAAGGAAGTACGTCCATTGAAAATAATGGAAGGCTCAAGAAACGTATATACTTTATACATTAGTATGCAGTATGTTTTTGTTTTCATTTAAAATTACAGGATTATGGAAATACAATTATTTATGTATTTTGGCCCAATCAAATAATTAATTAGAATTGAATGCAGATTGCATCACTTAAACTTTTTATAAGTATAAAAATGTACATTACTATTCTTTCTTTACAAAAGTAAAAATTACAAACAAAAATATTGCAAATATACAAACTGTACACAACATGACTGTATTTACTCTTCAGCCATCTCATTTGTTGAGGGTATTATAACTCTACAGAATTAATAGCATATTACATATTTTAAACACTATCTAGTCATAGCAAAAAAATCATAATTTGTAAAAGATAAACTATTCATCTACTTGTATGTTATGCCTAAATTTGTTAATTAACTAAACAAAAAGGATTAAGGATTACAAACATCGACTGCTGACACATGGCATAAGGTTTTTTTGCTAAGACAGCAAACAATGTCTGCTATCCAGCCTTTAAAATATAAAATAAATTTGACAAAATACAGGCTATTTTTAGTGAAATTGTAATTGATTAGGCCTTATAAAATCAACCAACCAAATATAGGAATATATTTCAAACACAGTCATTTCCCACCTTCTACCTAACAATTGAAGTTAATCTTCTTTGCATTGTGACTGAGAATGTGTTACTCACTAGTCACAATGAGTGTCTACTTCAGGGCACAGGTACAGCAGCTACAACTAAAAGCTGAATTTTACATTTTAAATGAAGAGCAAACCATTCTATTTACGTAAATATTTTTTTTTTTACAAGCTGAAGCATTAAAAACAGGCTGTTGTGGGCTGTTACAGGCTTTTTGAGCAATGATACAGGTTTTAAAGGTTAAGCTTCTGCAAAATAGGTTTTATAGGTTCAGCTGGAGGCCTGTATAAATAAATACAAGTAAACTTTGATTCTGTGTAACACAAACTATATTAACTAATGCTATACAACACATTTCTAGACTTACAGTAACTTTTTTGAAAAACCATTATTTAAATACATTTTACAAAATTATACTTACATTCAAGGAACTAGTTATATTTAACAAATTCATACATTAAATTAACAATCATAGAAACATTTCCCAAGGTTACTACTATTTAAAATAATTTTACTGAGTTAAATAACAAATACTTTTATTCTGTATATTATCTATCATTTGTTCTGAACCATAATTGTATTGTTTGTAATTAAGCACAAAGCTACACAATGGACTATCTGTGCTCTGCCCACCACAGGTATTGAAACCTGGGTTCTAGCATTGTAAGTCTGCAGACATACCGCTGTGCTACTGGGGGGGCCCATAATAGTAAAGATTTAGTTGTGACAATAGACAGACCAAAGATCCGCATTCTAGCGATTAGGCTACGCATGGCTTAGTCTATCTGTTATTATTATAATACACAGCAGCAATTGTTAAATATTGTATATTACACAGTCCAATAATAACTGTGAGGTTGACCATAGAAGTCCTTGTTGATAATATATTTTTTCCATTTATCTTAAAATAATTTCAGCAAATCTGATTCCATATTCATTAATACCTAACAATATCACATCACTAAGATTTTGAGAAGCTGTAACTATCCATACCTTTCCAAAAAACTAAAAAATAAAGTTTAAGCTGAAGGAAGACGTACAACATTACTCTTTGTTAATGTCACTTGAAATGAAGTGGACAAATTTTGTGTATAATCAGTGAACTGATACTGTCCAAACCAATACACTAACTTAAAACTTTGGACAAACATATAGTTGTTTCTATTTAAGAAAAACTAAATTAAATGTTGTCTTAACTCTATGAAAATTTCCATCAAAAGTGAAGAAACATTTTGAAGATGACTTTTTGCAAGGTACACAATTCTAAATGAGCTTTTTAAGTCCACATGGGTTCTTTATTTTATTTAACAGAAAAATTAAGAGTTGATTTCTAATATTTTCAAAAAACACTAAAAATTATTTTTAATCTTTGAAACTGTATCAATAAAAACATGTACAATGTATCCTTTCTTTACTTCAGAATTACTCTCTGCCTCATCTTGGTCTATAATTAAAATCAAATCAAAAGGAAGATGAACATTAAACCTTTAGGTGGCAAAATCATTTCCAACAATAAAAGATTCAGAACTTTTATATCACAAATATTTTCTACTATTATAGACACATATGGCAACAAATCGTTTAAAGGGTTAAAAAATACAAATAATGAAAAAAGCTTAAACTGGCAAAATATTTTGAGAAACTCCACTAACTTATATTTGCACTGTTACACAAAGATTGAATTTTACTCATCTTTTTTTCATACAATTTGTCACTATTTTCATACTCAGGCTGACTCTGTTACTCATTGAAATACAATGAACATTACACTATTGTAAAATATTGAAAATCATGCTACTAGGGTTTCTTCACTGCTTTGCTTCTCCTAACATTACTACCATGCTTTTATAAATGTTTTCATTAATGGTGCCATGATTATTTATTACTGTAGATTCCAAAAGACCCAGAAACTCGAGGGCTTTCAAAAAACTGACTATTCTTCTTCTTTTGAAATCTATTTGAATTTTTAGTGATCCTTTGTGCTAATTTTCATCATGGCTATTCACCAATGTTATATGATAAATTTACCATGATATGTTAAATGTAAGGACCAAACTCTCCCAGTCACATACACATTCAGGTTAATTTCATATTTGTACTACCATGTTCATGTGGTGACATCCATACTGTCACATATCTTTACTGGCACGTGATCTGACTACTCTACTCTCATATTTTTACTACCATGTTCATGTGGTGACATCCATACTGTCACATATCTTTACTGGCACGTGATTTGACTACTCTACTCTCATATTTTTACTACCATGTTCATGTGGTGACATCCATACTGTCACATATCTTTACTGGCACGTGATGACTACTCTACTCTCATATTTTTTTTTTTTTTATAAATATCAATTTTGCACTTTTATTTCATGTATTACTGTTACAAACAATGCTGTTGTAACATTTTAATCACTGTTTCACAACTTTCTCACTGTCACACATTTACCATAAATTTTATATTCATGCACCTTAAGCCTTCAATTTCAAATTAGTTGTTGTCGCAACCTAATTACAGGTACCACCGTTACAATAATGTTGACGTAACACATTAAGCATTTACACATCCTTTTACGCATTGGCGTTACACATTTTACATAAATTTTATTTTATATTGCTATCAAACTTTAACCATTATTTTCACATCCATGATACTATCATACATTTACCATCAAATCTACATTCATGCTGAAATTACACTTTAACAACTTATTTTACATCTATGTTCCTGTCATATCTTAACAAATATTTTCACACACAAACACACTACTACCACAGATACTTTAAACTTTATATTCATGAACCTTTACTTTCAATTTTGAATTCAAGCTACTGTGACACCTTAACTACATGTATCACCATTAGAACAATGTTGACGTCACAGATAACCATTACTTTCAAGATAATGCTAATGAAGCAAGTTTATATCATATGCAAATTCATGCAACTGCATAACTTATCATGATTTCAGCACTCACAGTCTAGTTCAAGAGTTTTCTTTTTTGTCTAGATAAAAACTCTAGTTATTTTCTTTCTTTTGTATCTAATTTTTAAATTAATGATCCATACACCTGAAATTACTGTAGTAAAAAATCACCAAGGTTACAAAAAGTATATCTAGCTTTTAACTCACATCAAATTCATATCACATTCCTATAAATAATAAAGTAGTGACTAGAACCTAGAAATCCCATTAAATGACAGAACTACTCTGAAATTTTAAGATTCAGGTTCCAATTTGTTATTTCATTCACGTATTTTCAGAAAAATAAAAAACAACAGAACCTTCATATTGGCAAAATATTTTTCTGACAACAAATGAGTAGTGCCTCAGCTAAGAATTTTAAATTTGTATAAAACAATAAAACATATTTATACTTGCACTGAATATTAAATTCCATGAAATGATTCTAAAATAACACCTTAATGCTGACACAAACATTGAAAAATATGCAAATTATATTAATTAAAATTGAGAAGTGAACTTGAGAACTAGCAAACAAATATGCACATAAAATATGGTTATTGTATACTTACTGCTGTTGGAGTAGAAAGTTTTAAGTTCCAACACATACATAAAACAAAATTTAAACCTAAGGAAAATTGTGCCCATGACAATACTTTATTGCATTGTGTACTAATATTTTGTATAGCCTAGTTATATATATATATATATATAGTATTTTCATGACTTTATTATACTAATAGTAGGTAGTACGTATTCTTTGAAGTGTTAAATCAAAGTCACTATTCTTTAAATTTTATTTTTACATTACAGTTGAAAACAATTTTCCACTTCCGCACATCTGCCACTACAAACAGTGTAACATCCATGCCATAAGCTAAGGATTAAACCTGCAACAGGTTCAAATTCATAATAATGAAGCATGTAACTTTGGCATGATTACCTTAGGATATAATATTTGATTGCATTTATGCTTTAACTGGTATAAGCTATGGTTCAGAAATGGTAATTACATAACTAGGCTAACAGTTGAAATAACACATGCACAATACATCATTTGGCTCACGGATTTTAACAAACTAGTAAATGTATCTTTTCTTTTACCACAAAATTTTGCAAGCTAAAAGTGTTTTGGTCAAATGAATAAAATTACATCAAATGGCCAAAGTCTGAATTCACATTAATGTTACCACTATGCAAAGTGTTGGCATTAATAGTTCCAAACAGCATTATGTCATTTCTAACCTTTGATTCAATGTTGGACACTTCATTACAATGATCTTTATTCCTGCCAGTGTTTCTACCACAGCTTGTTGCTTTTGTTTGGTTCTCAACACTGAATCTGACTAGGGTAATTTCATTTTTCTATACACCTTTATAAAATTGCTCAATTTTTTTTTCTTCAGTGTGATGACACACTGGCAAATGCATCAAGTATGATATACTAAAATACAACAACAGAAATCCAATTTTTGGAGAGGATAGATTATACAATATTGACATTTCTCACATTAAAACTCATTAACATACCTATGACACAGTAGTCAAATATTTGAATTAAACATTTAATCTAGATGTATCACAATAATTATAGTAATGAACAATTATATTGTTATTATTAAATCTTCAATATCAATTCTTACAATGAAATTGTTTATGTCTTGAGTTGAATAGCAACTAACATTTTTTTCAGGAATAAACAATTACTGTTATTAAATCTTGAATTGAATATCAATTTTTCATTTACAACTGCTGATGTTGTATTGAGTTTAATGGCATTTAACAACATCTTTTCTTTTGAAAAATTCCTGCAGACTTCAACAACAGCATAAAATAAACTTGCAAGAATTTTCATATCTAAGATACTTAAAACAGACTATTTTATTTGAGCACAAGGATTTCTTTTCTTCAAATATACACTAAAGGTTAGAGATTTCATGAAATATTAATATTTCTAAGCATTTGAATGTCTTATTATTTAAGACATGGATTTTTGACTTAATGAAATGGTTGACACTTGTAACATGAGCTACTAGTTGTTTTTGCTCTGACAGCAATTAAGACCATATGTTTCCTGTGTATCTAATGTGACCTTATGATAAGGCTTTTTCAAGCAATGCATCTCTGTCACTGTTGAGATGCTTGTTCAAGTTATAGAGGTTGGTGACTGAACAAGGACACCATGCAATTCCAGCCCCAGCTCTGCATGTCTGGATTCCTGCTGCCTGTTCCCATCTGAAATACACATTAACAAATTCAGAATAATTAATCTTGCTTCTGTAGTTCAAGGGTGGTATGGAACAATATACTAATATTTACCTAAACAGGAAACAATAAACATGTAACTGTTATTTCAGAATAAAACAAAGCATATATACTTCCAAATACATTAAAATAGGTTCATTCATAAAATTTTTTATACAGAGCTGGCCAAATGTAACTAACTATACAATTGTACACTCACTGTAGCTACTTCACTGCATGGTTACTTTTGGCCACTCCTGTATTATTAGAACATCCCATAAGCTGAAAAAAACTATAACAATATTGTAAATGTTAAAAAAAGATTTAACTGCAAAGAAATTTTCCTCTATACTTTAAAACCTATATGTTGGAACTCACTAGATGCTATCAATGATTAAGAAACAGTAAAGATTAATATTACAGACTGCAATTTACCAGTCAGTCAGACAGACAAAAAAATTTTATGTCACCAAAGTATCACAACCAATGACCTTTGGTTAAAATGATCAAGCTTACTATTTTATTCACAAATGACTTTATATTAGTTTCTAGAAAATAGCTGGTAGTGTGTCTACATCCACATTTACTTTCTAATTTAAGGAATTATATTGTATTAGATATCCGATACTATCAAGTAAGTTTGCTTACAACTGTTCTGGATGACTAGGAAGTATGTATTAGAATAATCTATCTAATACTTATTAATCACGTGTGATATTTATTGGTTGATGTTTGCTATGCATACACTGTACTGTAAACAAAGAAAAAAGTTTTGACAACTAAGAAAATAGTGCTAATAGCCATTGACAAACTGTTTAACAAGAAGTTACTGCCAATGAAACAGCATATAATAAAAAGAACAAAGTTAAAGTCTGTTTTAAATGTAATTATACAACCAAAATTTTTCAGAGTAACCTTTGTTATTTTATCTGTATTTCCAAATTTTTATTTGTAATCTCAACAAACAATAAGAGGTACACTGCACTCATGCATGGCAAACATGAAGAAGCACATTGTAAATATTAACAAAAATGTACTAAAATTTTGGAGAAAGACTAGTTATTACCATTTTTATGCTTAATTACAAGGTTGGACATGGAATTTTTGTAAAAACATTTCAGTATGGAAAATCTATAGTTTTTATGAGGTTCTTGAAAGTCTAACCTCAACACTCGCACACCCTTGTTGTATTTATAACAAACCATTCCACTGTGTTTACCTCAGTTTTGTGACCGATCTACGCTATTTGAGTTCTACTACTAAATATTCTGGGGGATAATCAGGATTGTAAATACAGTATTGTGATGCATGTTATTATTATCATTATTATCATTTTGTCTCTTTGTGTTCTTGTTAGTTTTTCTTTCAGATCTAAAACGAATAAAATTCTTAATAAATGGATTGATGATTTTACTTGTAATCATCATATCCTGAGATGACTGATAGATACAATAGCACTAACTGACAACAAGTAAGATCATTCAGAACAATTATTGTTTTAAATATCATTTAAAAGTGGGTATGTGTTATCTTGCAAGACAACTTACAGGCTGAGCACCATGTTGAAATATAAAGGTTTTATTGAACCACAAGATTTCCATTCTATGTTATGTGAAATTGCTACAGTAAACTGATAAAAAATGGAAAACATCAGAATGCAACTGTGTTGGAAAACCATGAGATAAACAACTTTGTTAATCTCAACGTACTATTAACATCTGCAAGTACAACAGTGCATGTATGCCACATTTACACACAACAGACACCATGAAAAACATATAAGGTCCAGAACCTCCAATTACAACTGGAATATGTGTATATTATGTCAAAAAACAAAACAAAGAAGACTTTCTTTGATTGTTACTTTTGCTGCAAAAGACTCAATTCAAAAGGTTGCTGAAGCAAAAAACGATGATAAAGTTTTGAGGTGTAGATTTTGCAGTTCAAGAAACAAAGCATCACAAACTCTTCTATAGTTCACACCTGCTTGCTGCTTCCACCATCAGATAAAAATGGAAATTTTTAAAACAAGTATGAAAATGCTATTAGGAAGCTTACTGAAAGCATCAATTGTGACTTGTTATTACAACACTACTCATGAATTAGGGTTTATTCTCCACAGAGCAAGATTGAGAAAACTACAAAAATGAAAAAAAAAAACAACCAACTGAAACAATATGGGAATAAAGTAATTTTTCAATCACAATCAAACAAAAAAACAAGCCAGAATTTCTGTACAATACCTCAACATCATTTAACAGTGCAATTAATGCAGCTGCTGAATTATACAGCAAAGCTCAAGTCTACTTGCAGCTGAATTCTTCATTAGTGAAGCAGAGTGTGGACTATTCTGACAGTTACTACACAAGTTTATGTTGCACAAATCTTAACAAGTGACCTTAAGGAATGTGTTGAAATTTCAACAAATCTCTCAATAATAAAAGCATAACTTTGGCACAAGCAAGTTATGTCATACTAAGCACTATTTAAATGACCTGCAAATGAATGATGGAGGGAAATGACTGTGTACCTTTTGTATTAGTATAAGTTTCCTCCACCAATGATGGTAACCATCACAAGATTTTCTTCTTGGGTCAAGAAATGATTCATATTATGTCCAAAGGTGATGTAAAAATATCCAAACATGCAGGCTTATCTACATTTGTATAAAAAATATCACTGGTTTCAAGCATCTTATTACTATACTGAACAGAACTGGACATGACATTAGCTATAATGATGCAGTTAGAATACACAATGCCATAGCAGAAAGCATACTCAAGCAAGCTAAAAAATAAGGCACTGTTTTACCCAAAACTATTCATCAGAGTATATTTGTCTAAGCTGTAGCTGACAATGATGATAGTGGTGAAGAAACACTTAATGGTAGGCGTACTACATGTAAAACAACAATGGTTCTCTACCAAAGGCAACCTCAAGGAGATCTTGACAAACAGGACAAATATTAAATCAAATATTAAGGCAGCAGAGGATCACACAGTCAAAGATCCAAATCAATAAATATTTGTGCCTTCAATGCTCATGGAAGAAGACTATACTTTTTTTTTCACAGAGAATGTCAATGACTGTGTTATATATACATCAACCAAGTACCATTTGCTGATACCTGTAAGATAATTTCAAAACATTTTTGTGACACATCTGAGGAAAGATTTGGGCTATATCCATATTTGAGGCATTAGCACAAAATACTGTCATGACAAATCACCATATCACATGCAAGAAGACATCTATTACACCTACTTGATATTGTCTAATATTGACAGCTCCACCTACAGATTATAGTAGTGTGTACACTGTGATAAAATTAAGTCTAAAATAAGATGGCTAAAATGTAACAAAATAATTTTGCCATTACTTTTGATGAAGCAATTTACTGTAGAGCAAAAAGAACTTCTATGGTTTAAACTAAGGGAATTCATGAACACTGTCATTAGGATAGAAGATTCCACATTACCTTGAATTTCCTGATAATAATTGGCAAACTGTGTGCTGTATTAGAAGATCTCATTGTATCTGGTCTGTATCATAGCAATACGGCAAGCAAGTTACCAAGAAGTCCTACAACCATGAGATTAGAGCATATAAATTGGTGTTGGAGGCCATGATGAAGCTAAAATGGTAAGTCCTGTATATGTGGTTAGTGGAAGAAGAATACAGAGTCAAAGAAGAAATTATAAATCTTCTCCAAACAATTCACACTGTTACTGATAACAATCAGGACTCTATCAAGGTAGCACATGACAAACTGAAAAGATGGTGGAACAAAGACTCTTCACAAATCCAGTTATACTGGAATCAATATATCAACATGACATGATCTTGCAGAGATACATTTGTTCTCACTGAGAAGTTCTGATGGATCTGCATCTTGCCTGTATAGTAGAGATGATCTCGTTTTACTTCATGTGTGATGGAAACCAGCGTATTTTGCTGATATAAAATTTTTATCCATCACAGTACTACATGTAAAGCAAAAGTTTTACTGGGGAAATCATCAAGTGAATAGGTTCAAGTAGAAATTCAAGAAGTTGTGGCCTAATATGATCTCATAGCAAGACATAAGGAAGTACTGTTGGTCTCAACTGCGGGTTCCTAACAGTTCATGAAAAAGTTGTTGTTACAAGTGTCACAAAGGTGATGCTGAGACAAGAGAATGAAAGTGAAGATGTACCAAAAAGACATAATAAGGCAGAGCACAATGAGTAAAGAAGAGATGAAGTAAATGTACAAAAACTGCTTGTGACTATGAAAGATATAATCCCAAAATCTTTTCTAGACACAGGTAGTGAGGACGTGGCACTCAGCCAACACAACAACTGGTGTTGTTGCACTTTCCAAGCTCCAATGTTATTAAAGGTCTTGATGTGAAGAATATGAGTACCATACTGATTAATAAGTTAACAGACAAGTGACTTTTTGACAAGAAGGTGAGGAATCATAACATTTAACAACTAGAAATACTACTGTAGTGCACTGAAAGATTATAATAGTATACTTGACTAAATGTGGTGTTTCAGAAAGTAATATAATATGATAAAAATACCTTATCCTTAATTATATTAATTCCTCACAACTGTCATTTCAAAATAAAGGAATCACTTTTTTCTTTATAGGTGCCCTTCATCAACCCTATTCTCAGATTCAAGCTGAAAACATTTGCAATATTATCTCAACCTGTAAAATTAAAGACAGTAACCAAAAAGACCATCATAATCAATTCAACTGTCTAGGAGGTTAGTCAATGTGGCCAAGACATGGAATGTTTATCTCTAAGAGGTGTTTAATGATGAACTTACTGCTCGTTCCTCTATCTTTACCTAAACCTGCTGGTACACCCAAATAAAGAGCCAAGTGTGTGAGCCGAAGAAAGGTGTTGGTGTCATTTCAACTTTTCTAGAAACAACTGTCTCCATTGCATGGCTTGTTTATGTTATAGATTTTCTGCAGATGTAAAAGAAAGTTGGTGGCAAAACATTTGGCTCAATATCTATTCAGCATCCTAGCAGACATCACAAGAAGATCATGTCACATTTATTGCCATACTACTTGACAGGTATGATGAACAGGAATCCAAAGCCTCTGAAAGTAACTGAAGAAAAAAAGGACCAAAGTACTAAAGTAACAATTAATGAATCTCAAACATCACTTCCAAGGCAATGGACTAGTATGTTACTTGGGAAAAACAAAGCTGCATCAGCAGTCCTCTTAAGTGAACCATGACTTGAAGTGGGATTGAATTAGTTGTTGAAGGAGGGTTCAACGACAGTGACATGTGTAAGGTTGTGAAGGGTAGCACAAAATGGATGTAACAGATCTGCAGGAAACCCATGAGCAGACACCCATCTGTTCCACTATACAGCACATGCTTTGGAAGCATGTCCAAGCCACTGATATAATAGTCTTATGGGTGCACCTCTACTTAAGAATTACATATGAACTCTAGATTTGAACTGGGATTTAAGATGACAGAACATGATTCATTCCCATACGTGATGTAACCACTAAACTTGAGCTTTTTGGGTTCAAAACATTGCCCATCTTCCATGTACTAACAGGTTGTGATTCAACCAGCATCATCAATAACAAAAGAGAAGATACATGCCTGGGATGTTCTTTTGCCAAGAAGCTAACAGATACTTGATGACTCAGCTGGGTTGACCTTCACTATCCACTTCCAGAGGATGCATGACAGAGGTGCCACTAGCACAATCAAGGTGTTACACCATCTACTTTTCAGCAGGAAAAACTCTAGAAGTGAACATTTGTCACCAACACATGAAATTCTTGTTCAGCATAAAATTTGTGCTAAACACTAGGTGTACATTTAGTTAAATGCAATAATTTCAAAGCCTGAGATAATTTCATCAGCTGGTAATGGTGGTGTGTTGCTTCTAAGACTGATTATCAAATCCACTGCTCAACCTACTAAACTGATGTTTGAGCTGGGAAAAGGTGTTTGTATCATTTTAACTTTTCCACTACTGTAAGTGTCATGGAGAAAAAGATTGTGAAAACCCAAATAAGACAGCCAATGATGGTAATGTAACTGACTCTAACATAGTTATTCAGATAAAGGCAGAGATGTAATGTAAAGATTTAATGTAATGATGCTAAAGCTATTGGTGGTAATGGATATGACTTTAACATATATTTAACAACTGACTGCTTTTAGTGTACCAGTAATCATTATATAGTAACAATTTATTTCAGAATTATAATTATTTCCTTACCTCTTCTGGTTTATTTTACATAACAAGTATACAATAAACATCAAAATGCTGGTTTGTAATTTACATACAATTTAATACACATACATAGGTTACAGTGTCTTTTTATCAAATGTGCTATCGAATGTTCAAAAAAAAGCAGCGATAATCATATTTTATACAAAATTGTTTTGTTTTCAACCAAATATTAAGTCTGAGTTTTTCAAAGCCACTATTTAAAATGTTTTGATTATGTATGAAATTCATTGAGCATGGCCTCAATAGTAAAGTAGCAAATCAAGATTGATGTTAGTGAAACAGCACATAGAGATACAAATAACAGAAGTTTTACAAAAGTTGGCATATTGATTTCATACTAAATGGGATTTTTTTAAAACTATTTCAGGATCATTCCTAGAAATATTTGAAGTTAATAAGGTGTAACAGTGTATCACAATAGATGTATTTTTCTTGAAAGCTGCACAACGTTTGATTGAATTTGTGTATCGCAAAAACATTTCTTTTGCAATAGCTGTAAATCTTGCTTTAGGTAATAATTCTATACAATAGTGAACAGAGTGATATGTTTTAGTAATTCTGGTAGATATCATTTAATATTTACATGAGGTTTAATGAAATGACCAAAAAAAAGTAGCAGGTAAAACATGTTTCTTCTATGGTCCAATTGAAAATTCTAGCATCCAGTTCATCCATGATCCTGAGTTCCTTTTCCTTCCAATAGTAACAAACAATCTTGGTGTAAAGTGGGGTTGCTATAATTATAACTTTATGCTGTTTGGCTCCTAAACTATTTTCTTAAGTTTTTGTTATGTATATACATATCTATGCATACTTTCCTAAAAGTCAAATCAATTTTGTACATCTTTTCATTACATTTCTAAATGTAGATCTAACTTTACTATGTTATGCAATAAAATGTATTACATTAATGTTAATTAATTTCTCCTTTTTTAATGTCATAATAACAAGTAACATAAATTAGTCCACATCTAAAACAACTATGTCAGAAAATAGCACTGATATCATTAAGTATGTGTACAGGTAATGAAAGCTTTTGACTAGTAATCACACACTACATGAAGTACTGTAAAGCTTGTTATGCATGCAATTTAAACACCTGCAACAAAGCTATTGCAACAGAACTTATGAATATATTATTTCATTCTTTTTTTTTACATTTTGATCACTTGATAACTAAGAATAATTTACAGGGTAATTCATAAAGCTTTAAGTACATGTTTTGGAAGAAAAATAAAAACACTGAATTAAGTTCAGTTACAGCTTACCTGATACTTAACATTTGCAGGTTTTAAAATTTCTTTCCCTTATTTTTAATTAACTCCAATGAATTTCTGTTAGATTTCTTGTAAGAAGGATAAGAAAAAGAACTAACTTATCTATTAGAGGATCATAAACTTCCACACTGCTTAGGTAGTGGTTTCCATTGTGTCCTCCAACAGCAAACATTCGCCCACCAAGAGTTCCTAATCCTACTCCTCCTCTACAATGCATCATAGGAACTACGTATGACCAAGAGTTTGAAATAGGGTCATACATTTCTACAGAATTCAGGGATCTGTTGTTGTCAAATCCTCCTAAAAATTACATTTTATTATTAATGAGTAAAAATACTTGAAATAGTTAGATTTTTCTCATACAGCTGTAATTTAAAAATATCTAATATAATAAACTATCCACACTTTCATAACCACCTTTAAAAAAATTATAATATAATTGATGCATAAAGTTAAATGTATGTAAACTAATTACATTAAATAATTATTAAGATCATTAGGTTGACAACATCTAAGTGTTTTCAAGTAACTGATTATGGATACATGAATATTATGTTTACTAACTAAAAGCAACTGCCATTTCACTAAACATCAATAAAAAACTTAAGTATCAATTAGTAACTTAAAACTTAATTAAGAATAAGCTCTTTATGGTAGAAAGATTCCAAATTTGAAGATAATTGGCCAATTTAACATACTGAAATTAAGTATGATAAAATAAGGAATAAACAGGGTGAGACAAAGTTACTATACAGTTGAGACTATACGGTTAGTATTATTAATTCTTTGCTCTCACAACATTTCATCTTGTGATGCAACATAATTCTTTGCTTTATGTGGTAAAGTGTTAAGATTTTTTCTCTAATATACATTCATTTCCAAGCTTCTTGTTTTCAGGATACTTAGAACCCATACATGATGTACTTTATTTCCTGAAAGTCTCTGTAACCTGATGTATAGGGTAACAATAAATTACCTCTGTAAGTTCAGACATCCTGTTTACAAAAGATATTACGTATGTGTTTTATTTTCCAATTAACCTTCACTGAAATTCACTGCTTTTGTGTGTTCTAAACTTAAGCTTGGTGGATTGGAAAAGCCACACTATGTTAAAGATACCATTAAATTTTCTCCTTGCCAACTATGGTAATCAAAGGCATGCTTTACTATTAAAAATAAATCAAACTCTCATTTTATGTGTGAAAAGATTAATATTCTGTTCAGGGCTATACGTGGGTAATGCAAGTGATGTGTTCATACAGGGCACCAACTTGAAGGGGTGCACTGACTGCCCTATTGGGCAAACTAATGGCTGCTTGCCTGCATCAAGGCAGCCCTGCAGATGAGATGAACAGTTCCATATTGAATAACGAATGTGTACTTGCAAATAGTCAACTGCCCAGAAATCACGCGTGTGTAGTTTCAGCTTGTTTACTAAGAATGCAGTGGTTGGTTATATTCGAAATTCAAACTGCACTACATGATTGAATATATGCACAATATTTTTTTTGGTAAATTATATTTTGTAATGATTATAATAGTTTATATAATGTATTGTAAATATTCAGAATAATAAGATTTTGGGGGTTGGGTTAAGGGGGTGCCTAATTTATATGTCACAGAAGACAAACCATAAACATCGGTACAGCTCTGATTCTGTTACAGGTGTATTAACTTATTTTTGAAACTTCTTGACATATTAATTTTAATAGATCATCTAAATTTTAGTAAATTACAAAAAAAAACTTTCCTTCTTGTTGTTTGTGAGGTAGCTTTCATCAGTGTATTTCATATTACAAGTTGAAATATCAAATCAATTTCTTTCATGGCTAAGTTCTTTACTTAACTAATGCTAAAGCCAAATTCACAATCACTCTCATATTATATTAATTAAATATACACTCGTGCTTTCCTATTCTGATCTATGATGAAAAAGTTGTAAATTATCAGTTAACTGGTCTCCACTATGTTTGACTGCTAAAAAAATTCTCTACTTTGCTTTAAAGTTGTGAAAATCAGGTATAAGCCTTTAATTAAACTTCTATGTTTTTTTTTTACATGCAAAGTTTCAATATAAGATCTGTTAATCTTTCAGAGGCCAAATCCAGATTTATTTTTACTAATTTCAAACAAATTTTATCTCCATCTACTTGAGAAAAATATTTATGAAGCTTAGGAGAATGTAAAACTAATAAGATAAACTAAGGGCCTCATTTTGTGTTCAGTTGCTTCTATATTTTGCTTCAGGACACACAAAACTGGAAATAAGTTTAAATAATGTAAAATGAATTATTAACTTACAATTTATTAGAAATTATCAACCATTATTTTTCAGGCCTAAAAATATTAAACCAGGTTTGCTATAGACCAAGATACATTGTAACAATTTGAAAATTGTCTTGAACATCTGACAACAAAATTTTCTGATACAAAAACTTCAACAAAACAGATTTTCTGATGGTGCACTAACTATAACTGTCATAATGCTTTATTCATTTTTGACTAAGTACATTTTATAATCCATAATCACTGAATTACTCAGAAGTTGGTTACATGTTGCTACATCCATGTTCCATTTCACCCAAGGAATTCACAATAAAATATGTACTGTGTCAAACAATTAAAAGAATTAGTGAAAAAATGAAGATTTTAAAAGCACAGAGGGCATTACAGCTGTTACTCTGAAGGAAAAAGATTTACTGAATGGCATCATGAACCACCACCTATTAACATCTTTAAAACGAATATCACTACAGCAAGCCTACCTTTTCAATAAGCCAAGAAAAGAAGAAATGGCAATAAAGGACTAAGAATATTTCTGAACTGGTCAAACTGAATGAACCCAACTTGTAAGGGTAGAAAGAGAAAGGTCACGTACAGAGGAATGTTACCAGGGGAGGAAAAGATGGGAACAGGAACCATGAAAGGAGGCCTTGCAAGCAATGTAACAACAAAGAGCACATATGAGACATAGAAGTTTATCTGGACCAGACTAGGAATAAAGGTGGGAAATGGATGGAAGTGAAATCAGTGAAAATGTCCCTCATGAGTCACCAAAGTTATAAACTGGTAAGATTGATCTAAATAAAGGAGAATGTATGTGGAATGGAACAGCATACATGAAATGTTGATGGCAAATATATCAGACTGGTGATGCCCAAAACCTCAAGAGAGGAAAGGAGAACGGTCTGTGCTACAAAGGAAGCAACCTAACATGGATGATTGAAGTCTCTCTGGGAAGGAGTTAGATGGAAGGGTAAACATAAGGGTAGTGGTTGGTCCGGTCCTGACTTAGAGCATCTACAGTCAGAGCCTGAGTATGGAGAACCGGAAACCAAAAAAAAAGAGGCAACTTGGTGTTGAGGCAAGTGGCAAAAGCATCCAGGTGAGAAGTACCCCACTGATAGCACAACCACCTGTAAACCTTAAGTTGAGGTTTGAAAGATCACTCCATAGGATAAACCTAGTAGGGTCTTGAAAGACGAGTTGCCAAGAGGTGGAAAACACCTGGAGCATGATATGCAAGGAGAATTATCTGCAGCATATGGGCCCAATAAAGGAGTTCTAATGTCTGATCACAAAGGGAACAGGTGTCCCCTTGGTGATTGATATAGTACACAATGGTGGAATTGTCTGAATGTATCAGGATGTGTCGGTTCCATATCAGAAGAAGAAAATGATCTAAAGCATGCTGTACCTCAAGAAGCTTCAAGGTGGAGATATGGTAAGATTTTATGATCTGAGACCACTGTACAAAAACTTCCTGCTGATTGACCAATGCCCTCCCAACCTTGTAGAGAAGTATCTGTGACCAGATGCAAATCATGATGACATGGAGCATGTGGTACTTCCATTGTCTTGTTGTCCTTGTTCAACCACCAATGTAGATCATCTGTAAGGGAAGAAGGAAGGTTAATTAGGGAATCCAAGGGATCCTGAGCAAGATTCCATTGGTTGAGCAGAGTCCACTGAAGAGAACACATATGTGCCCAACCTAAGAGGATAAGGGATTCCATAGAAGCCCATGGCTCCAAAATTGATAGAAATAGAGAGTAGCAAGTGTGTAGAAAACTCCATCAAATGGAGACGAGGTAGAGAAGGTTGGGCCCTACTGAGGTGAGTGTTGAAAAATACAACTAAGTGGGTGAAATATTGAGTAGACAAAAAGAAAGACTTCTCCGACATGAAAATCCAAACAACACAAGCCGCTTCTGGCAGTAGCAGATGTGTGTGTAGAAGACTCCATTTCAAAATGAGCTAACAGAAAGGTGTTCGACATTTCATTGTTTCTTGATGTCACTTCATCATTGCCAATGGTTCCAGGACTATCAGGTGGTTTCCAGTCCAGTGGGGGCATATTTGGATGAGCTGATTCCCATATGGCGAGAATTCACTACCAATTCTTGGATGATCCAAATTTTGTCAAAAGGACTTTTCATCTGTTTCCTTTCCCCCATCCCTTTTTCTTCTTTACAGATTTCCTTCTCATGACCTCAGGATCCAACTACCAGTCAGCTTCTTTCTGAGGCTGTGCAGACTCTTCTGTCATAGAGAGCTATCGAGCCTGTCAGCCTGCCTTTTCCAGGTTTTTACTCCAGGCTTTTTGTTCCCAAGAAAAATTGGGAACTGGACTTCTGTGATCAATTTGTCCTTGGTAAGCCACTTTCTGGATCTTTATCTCCAAGACTGTGGAGGACTAAGGTATATGTCTCAAATGCTTATCTGTATATTCCTATTTCTCATCAGTCCAGATGCTATCTTTGGTTACTTCACAACAGGGTTGTGTATCAGTTTTGTGCCTTGCCTTTTGGGCTAGCTTCAGCACTGTATGTATTTTTTCAGGTGGTCAAGGCCTTTGCTTGACTTATGCATGCTTGAGGGTTGCATTTACATTGATACATGGACAACTGGCTTAGATGAGTGATGGTGTTAGCATTTTTCCTTCTCCAATGGCTTCTGATCATTATGTTTTGGCTTATCAGTCTGATCAACCTTTTCTCCATTCCTAGCAGTTGGAATCACTTTTGCCAGTGTGGGGGCTGATCCTGACAATCCTATCCACTTGTCCCATGTCTAGTTTTTCCGCCTTCATCTTACCCTTACAGCTCACCTATGGTACTTTTCCACCATACATCTCCTTTCTGTGCCACTTCACTGTTCTTCTGAGGGGATTTCATGAGTTACCCTTTCCCTCCTTACTTCCACATTGGCATTATTGTGCTCCTTGGCCCTATCCCTTCACTTATGGTTTCTTTGTTGTTGGGATCTCTTGGGAGGGATGCTGTCTTGTCACAGGTTCGTCTACCTTACACTTATCCTGAGTCTTTGGAATCACATGTGAATTCTGTGAGACAACATTTGACCCTTTCATCTTTGGTTGTTCTTTTGTATCATTTTGATCCCATAACTGTTTCTTGTCCTGCACCCTCCCATCATTTACCAGTTCGTACCACCGAAACAAAATGCTCAGAATGACCCCTGATGTCACGATAAGGAAGAAAAACAAGGTACTATAATGATGAGTGTCATGTAACAAGGAAGGAACAGGATCATATGAAATTGGTGAAATCGATAAAATGGAACACACTTGAGAAATCATATCCAAAAATCTGAGCTTGACCTAGCAGATTCTAAAGGAGAGGTTTGGGAAGGCATGGGAGAGATAGGTGAAGGGGAAAAAAAAATTATAAAGAAAAATATGTTATTGCAGCAAACTACTACAGAAAACTTACTGTAGCAAAAGAATAATGCAAGTAAATCACTACTTTATAAAAACAGTTAAATGAACATGTGAAAAGAGCACAAAGAAAAATGTCTGCACTAGATCATTGCCTAACAAAAATGATAGTTCGGTAGAATTGAATAGAGGGAGTCACATTCATTAGGTTGGTGGAGGGTTGTCGCAGGATTATTTACATGCAAGACGCAGTTAACCACATGGAAGTTTAAGGCTTGTGGAATGCGAACAAATTTTGCATATAGAGGGCAGAACCAAAGGAGAATAGTTATGCGTGTGAGAGTAGGTAAGGTATCGTATCGGAATTATACAACAGCATTTGATGGGAGAGGCAACAAACTGATGGTTGAGAAATAACATAAGAGCTCTTCGATAATTAAAGAAGAATGTACATGGAGAGCAGAAGTAAATGTTGCCTGGAAGTATATTAAACTGAATCAACCAAAGAATTTAGAGAAGCCATTGTAAAGAAGGAGAAATTATACAGTACTTGACAAGGAAACTTGAATTTGTACTAAAACAAGTATCTTTTATAGTTAAATGCAAAAAACAAAATGAGAGCTGAGAAAGCTAGCAGTGTACTAAAATAACTTTATCTTTTGAAAAAAACAAAAAAAACTCTATCCCTAAAAAACAAAATCTAAATCTTACTGACTTAAAATGAAGCACATTGTATACATTACTCCATCTTGTTCACACAAAGAAAATGACAAGTATACCCATTAAAAAAATCAAGCAAAAAATGTGACCAAATACATTGTAAGTTTAGTTAAGAACAAACAAGTAAAAGTAGAACAAATAACAGTCAGTGACTGGCCAAGAAATTCTATAATGGAGATCCTGAAACACATGTGATACCATGCATAAAAACAATGTTCATGTCAAATGAGATTACAATGACATGTGGGAGGAGGTGGGAAACATTGTGATAAATAGGTGTAGCACAGAGGAAGAGTAGAAATTAGGTTTTAAGTTAATATGTGAAAAAAATTTTCAAGTTCTATATAAACATATTCTAAAGATTAGAGTACTAACTGATACAAAAACAAAACAAAACAACCCACCTACAACATACAACATTCCATTCAATACAGCTGCCCCAGCTCCAGCCCTATTTTGATTCATAGGTGGAATATTAACCCATTTATTTAAATGAGGGTCAAATTTTTCACAACTATTCAATGAAGTTGGGCCATTATTTCCTCCAAGTGCATACAAACAACCCTAGAGAAAGATATAAAGATCAATAAATCACAAACACTGCATAAAAATGAAACACTAATAATGGCTTGATTCTTTTGCTACTGGTTACTTACCTTATATGGAAAATATACCATACCAAGAAAATAATATCAAACAAATACAGTTAGCTATTTCAAGCTATACTGATACATGTACTTAACAACCATTATTTTGTTATAAAATTACTTATACTTACAATAAGCTCTCCATGTAACAACAAAAGTGCCAACAATGTATATATAGTTTACATCAATATAAGCACTTAGAACATGAAAAAATTAAATCAGGCACTAGAAGAGAATGTCCCAAAACTACAGTAATTTACCTAGCTTTCTAACTAAGCTATAAATAGGTTAAAAAAATTTGTTACTGCTCAGACCAATGACTTTACTCAACCATATCAAACTCTCTACCTCAGACTCATACCCACACTTTCAACCATTTATAATGTAAAGATGTTTAATGCTCTAAGTCTGTATCAATTTATTGATTGTTTTGCTAGGCATGCAGTAATTAGAATACACATGCACACACACACACACACACACATATATATATATATACATTTCTCAATCTGACTGCAGTTTGTAAGTCTATTGAGTACCACATTACAAACACACTTTTCATAATATTAGTTATTCTATTCCACATTAACAACTGGACTTTCCATTTTATCCCTCTATTTTTGCATTTCTCCTCCAACCCTAGTTGTACATGATTTATTATATTCTAAGTTTCCTGTTCTATTTTTTGACATACTAATGACATGTGGTTATTAAGCACATTGTTTGTTCTCAAGACACTGCAATATTTTTACTCTTTATTCTCTTGATTGTTTCAATCTGTTTCTGGGGTAGAGGTTTACATGTTTTATCTAGTTTAGTATAAATATTGTTTTAAAGTTATTATTTTCTCCTTTTAAGCTGCCATCACTTGCCCAGAATGTGTTTTCTGAGTAGGTCAGTGTTTTTGAAAATGTACATTTAACAGTCAGAGATTTCAAGATATTACTGTTTGATGCTGCCTACAAATTGGAACACTCATTCTCATTATATAACTTAATATAATTTATAAATACATAGTTGATCAGATTCTATTTTATAGGCTTGCCCAGTGCCACTCACTGGTTGATTATCTTGTGTTCTTTCAGTTATTAACTAAATATGTAGTTGGGTTGCAGCTAGTTACTTTAGGCTTAGACTATCTTTGTTTTCTGTTATGCTTCTTTTCAGAAGGCATCACACCTATGTTTTAAAAATCACATATTGCAAATTCATAACATGTGGAATAATTCATATGATAGTGTATGATGTTACTATATACAATGTGTGTATGCATATATATATGTGTGTGTGTGTCTGTGTGTGTATACACACACACACTTGTATGCATTTCAAAGCTCCAAAATTCCAACCAATGAATATTTCAGGATTGGTATCTTGTACTTATACAAAATGAATTTAATATAATTTGCAAAGAAAAATGAAAAAACTTATTCCAACTTTCACTTGCCCATAGACAACACAATTAAATATAACTTTTTTATAATTTTTCTGCCCATACCAAAGTACAGGTTTACATGTGCTAGAAAACTATCATCTTTGAGAACATAAGTATTCATACCGAGAGATGCTTATCAAGAAAAGAAAAGATGCGAGTGCACATATAGCCACAAACCCCAGTAAAGATGTAGCCGTAGATAAAACAAAACAGTGATCCTTTTATATAAAATTAATAAATGAATCCTTTCATTGTGCTAGTTAATAAACTCACTAACAGAAAACAAAACAAAAAATCACGTGAGAAACAAGCACACTTTCTTTGGCATGATTGAACCCTGATGTACATGTAAAACATTATAAAGAAATAATGTGTACACTTAGGTGTCTTACAATAAAGCACACACTGTTGATAGGTATTATTACGAGGTGTTTATATCAATGAAAATTAAATCCCTCAAATGATTGATGAGATTTGGAAATGAAATATTTAACAATTATGAATACAATTTTTTATTTTATTTTTGAACTATGCCAGTGACAATATAAAGACTGACATTGTGCTTGATTATTCAAATAACATTTTATTTGTTAGTTTAGTTGGGTTTTTTTCATCAAAAAGCAATAAGTAAATTGTAACTTAAAAACACCTCACTTAATATAAGTTTTCTATCTTGAAAGTATGTATAAGCAATCTGTGAAAAAGAAATTCCTCGAATGATTGATGGGATTTCAAAACAAAATGTAATTGTATAATTAACCTTTTACCAGTTATGAATATAATGTCTATGTTTGTGTCCTAAATATGCTAGTAATGACTGAAAGTACACAGACTGTAAGTATGCTCCATGCAATGAAAAAGGAAATTGGAGAAATTCTATCAGTACCCCTAGTGGTCATCTCCACTATTACTGGAGCTATGAAATCTATGCATTTTAAAATAAAAGTAACTTTTTGGCACATCCAATTTGAAATTTGTAGCATGTACAGTACGTGATACTGACTTTTCTCATTCTCTTCTTGTACAATGAAGTTTCTCAAATGAGTGACTTATTTGGCATAATGCCAACATTTTTTGAAATTTGACTTTCTTTTATAACTTAAAAAATCTGATATTTATTTATATTGTTTGAATTATAATTCTTATCTATATTTCTTCATAATGAAATGACATTCACTTGCTTTCAATCTACTGTACTCCAAAAAAAAAAGATGATCTATTTTATTCTTGTGTAGTGTCACAACCATTCCAATTATACAATATGGACACTTGTGTAAGGTTTGGTTTGATTTGTTTTGAATTTTGTGCAAAGCTACATGAGGGCAATCTGCACTAGCTGTTCCTAATTTACCAGTGAAAGACTAGAGGGAAGGCAACTCATCATCACCACCCACTGCCAACTCTTGGGTTACTCTTTTACCAATGAATAGTGGGATTCATTGTCACATTATAACGCTCCCAGGCTGAAAGGGCAAGCATGTTTGGTGAGACAGGGATTCAAACCCACAACTCTCAGATTGGGAGTCAAGCATCCTAACCACCTGGCCATACCGGGCCCACTTGCATAAGGAAGTACATTATGCTAATATAATATTAGGTAGGCAGGTAAGCATAAGGAAGATTTTTTTGATGGTGAAATATACATGTTTTGACAGAACATTGAAGAAACAAGACCAACGTTCTGTAGAAACATGTAGTATGTTCCACCATCAATAAAATTCTTCCTTGTGGTTATAGGTCATTGTTTGCCTATCTATTATTATAAGATAGGGATTTGGCAATTTCAAAATTAAGCACCATGACAATTTCAATTGTTCATAGGTTTTTACAATTTTTGTTTGGAAAAATATTTGACCTGATCAATATTATTGAAGATTCTTATGTAATCACTTGGACTTCTCCAAGCCTAACTGAACAACCCAAAAAACTGAATGACCATCTTCATTATTTTATTTAGTTTCAAGTGGTCTCCAGATGCTGTGCACTGTTATGCATTCTTCTCATGGCAGCCTCATAGTGAGCTGGATATGATTTGAATTTCTGAAGTATTAAGCACTGCAAAACCCTGTTGTTGGATATACAAGACTGTTTAGTGTAAGAGTTATTATTTAGTTCATTTAGTGATCTAACATTTAATGATTATTAATTTTTTATAACAAGTGTTAAAAGTAATTATTTTAGAGGTGATAGTTACAACAAATTTTGTCACGTAACTTGGTATGAGTCATACATTGTGTGTATAGTTCAATTGTTGTAATTCGATGTCACATTACTTGAACCTTCTGTATTTTTCTCGTTGCCTTAAGTGAGTATTGTTATATCATAACATCTCATAGTTTGTAAAAAGTTTGAGGCCTCAGTTGGGCAATGTATATATATATATATATATATATATAGACAACCAAATGAGTGAAAAGCAAATGAAGTCAGAAAACGTTAAGTTAGTGAAAGTAAAGTTAGATTGCGTGATTGTTAGTTTAACCATAATGTGTGATATTTTAAAGTGAGTTTCACAGTTTAACAGAGATAAGGAGAATAATTTGTCTTGTCAAAGGGTGTTTTAAAGTAATTGAACCTGCCTATGTGGACTGTGATGAAAAGAAGATAATTATTCAAAGCTCTGGATACAACTGTGGTAACCCTTAGGGTAACACAAGTGAACTTATCACTAATTATATTGTGATAACAGAATAAAAAAAGAGAATTATTTAAAGTTTTAGATAAAACTGTGATATCCTATAGTGTTAAGAATTTTTGTACATACGTTTGGCTTGTTTTGAATATATTCTTTTAAAACAAGTGAATTGTGTGCTGTCTGTTTATTGTTTGAATTTACCTCCAACAAGTCACAGACACCTACTGTTATTTTTACATTCATATGCTCTTATTACTGGAGTCCTTAAAATGGACAGGCTAAGAGTTCAGTTTACTTTTTGTGTTGTATTCTAGGGCTCTGTTATCCTTTGATGGATCAGATTTTTTTCATATTTGCCATTTGACATATCAGTTTTCTCATGAAAGTCCACTCTGAACCACTCAGAAGTTCTTTTTTTAATCCAGGTTTGTTTTCTGGTATACATGCATTTTTCTCTTCTTCTGTGTCTGTTTCCCACAAGTATCACATTCCTCCAGTTTATGTACTGGACATGCAGCAGATGTTATTGTTTTCTTATCTTTTGTTTAACACAAACACTGCTTCATTGATGAAATTTTTTTTTTACTTAGATTTTATTAACAAAAAGCTTTGGTTTTCATTAACAACATGTCTCAAAGTGGAATAGCTGTAAGTCTACGTATTTACAGTGCTCGAATCAGGGGTTCGATTCCCCTCGGTGAACACAGCAGAGAGACTGAGGTGGCTTTGCTATAAAACAGACACACACACATTAACAACATCAGGCTTTGGTTTTTGTTGCTTTTTGACATAAGAATCAATGTCGTGTCTTCTTAATTTTGCTTCCCATAATTTTACCTTACAATGCCTTTTGAACCTTCTTGATGTTGCTGTAGCTCACATATTTTTAGTGGATGGTTTCACTTTTCCTTTACTCAAGAGGGTTGTTATTCCAACTTGCTCCTCTCCTTTGTATTGCATATAGGAGGCTTTGGTTCAGATCTTGATTATTTTTTTGTACCTGTAAAGTATGCCTGCTCATAAAAACCTTTCTCTCAATTTGATTTTTTTTTCATGGTTTCCATAAAATGAGTTATCTTTTCTTTCTCTTATAAGGCAGCTCACACTATTTTTTTTTCTAATTAAAATATCATTGGTGAGAATATTTTATGTCATAATTTCCAAACCTCCTTCCTCTCATGGATTAGAAATTTGCCTATTTTTTTGGATGAGGCAGCTACAGTAACTCTTTTACAGAAATAATATTTTATTTCTCTTTTTTTTTTTATGGAAAAAATATATTATTTCTCTTTTTTTTTATGGTAAAGTTAAAAACACTAATACAAAAAAATAAAAATCAAAACTAATGACCTTCAAATTTTATTTATTCCACACAGTGTATAAAAATATGATAGTTTGTCACTTCTTTTCAGAATTGCTCAAATCATCATCTGTTAGAGT